CTTCCTTATTTTGTTATGTTTTTGTTGCCTTTATGAGGTTTGCATTACATTCTGTTGTAGTTGAACAATCGTTTTCTTGAGCGTCAAAATGATTGTTGAAGAAGTTGCCTAAGTTGGAACAACAATTGATGAGCATGAAGCATCAAAAAACCTTGTGCAAATGACAAGTTGAGATCAACAATATGTTGAAGCTGAATATGGAATGTTCAGATGGTAGAAGCAAAACCTGAATTGTCTCATTCCAATATCATTTTCTCATGTAATGTATATGAAAATGAAAAAGAAATAAAAAAAAACTGATGTGGAACAGAAAATGCAATGATGGCGTTGTGTTCGTGCTGAGGGCTCAAGACTCAAACTATTCACTTTGCAACGACCATTTCCCGAATGGGGTTCAAGTTAAAAAGCAGGTGTTCTAATTAAAAGTCTCAAACTTCAATTAAGTTTAGAAGTGAAATTAACAAAAAAGGAAAATAGAACGTTTAGAAAGAATTATTCTCTGCAAGTGACTTATCTTTCAATTTCCTATCAGATGCTTCATTTCTTGTAAAGGGCACAGACTGGTTGGAAGTTTGAAGAAAATTTATATTTTGAAGTTTTGTTTTCTACAAAAAGGGGAACGAAGAACCAAAGAATTCGATGTCAACGAGCAAGATGACGATAAGGTCGTTCAAACATGGCAAAAGCGCTAAGAAGGGAGTGATGATCAGAAAATAAGAAGGAGAACTTCTAGCATATATGCAACCATACGAATGTTTATGAACGCTGAAATAAATATAAAAATGAAAATCTTTTTTTTTAAATATAAAGTAAAAGCGGATCAAACTGCTTGAGAGGGAGTGAGAGAGTTGGAGATTTAGAGCAAAAGGGAAGACAGATGAGAAGCAGATTAGAACGACGAAGACGCCTAAAATTCAGGAAAATCATTTGAAATCATAAAGTGGCCAAGAGTAATGTAAAAACCTTCAAGAGAAGGGAGTTTTTGAATGAGAAACAAATTAAGAGGGAAAAAGAAAGATAGAGAGAGCTAGATAAAAAAAGAAAGAAAGAGAAAGAGAGAAGGAGGGAATATGAAATTGACAGATAGAGAGGTAGAGAGAGAGGGAAGTAAAAGTTAACAAATAATTTAATATGATGACTTTTCATCGAAACCATTATGCTTACGTCCAGAGATTTAATAGCCAAAGTAATAAAAGAAATCAAAATCTCAAAGAAATGCAATGATTATATTATAATCTATGACATTATAATATATTATTTTATGAATTTTATTTGAAAATTTTAAAAATTAATCTGTCAATCGGCTCCACACTTGTTGAGATGAAGAAAAAAAAAATTTTTTTTACATTCCTCCTGCTATCTTTCACTACCTCTCTCTATATATATTTTTCTTTTGAAATTCAGCAGAAGAAGAGAGAGAGAGAGAGAGAGAGAGAGAGAGTAAGATATAGAAAAACGAGTAAAAAAAGCGTTAATTGGTACATTCAATGGGCAAGATGAGGGAATAAAAAAAAAATTTCTTTTCACAGCTTATATATGAAGTTCGAAAATAAAAATTTTTAACAATTCATGAGAGACAAGAAGGTCACAATTAGAATCTTTTTTTGGTTCAAATACTTTAAGAGTTCAAGAAAATGAATCAAAACATCAAAAGATGCTTAATCATATTAGATCACTGAGCATTTAACCAGTACTAGCTGGTTCAGGTAATGAAAAGGGCGAGAGAGAAAGAGAGAGAGAGAGATAGAGAAAGATGGTAAGAGGACATGTAGAGGTGAGGATAAGCACGAGAGAAAAGTAAAGAAAAGGAGAGAACGAGAAAACGAAAAGTAAAGAGAATAAACTAAAATTACGTGAAAACGACTGTTTTTCAACGCAAAAGCAGAAGCTGTTGAATTTCGGCTAATGGCAGCCTCAACACAAATTTTATTTTTTATTAAGACATAATAGAAGTTAATATTGACAGATTCATATATAGCCTTTTGTCACATAAAAGAGAGATTGAAAGAATGAGAAATGAATGAAAGTTGAGTGAGAAGTTGAGATATAAAACTTTTTTTATTTTTTATATTTCATTCAAAATACTTTTTCTTCTGCTGTCCTCTTCGTCATCTTCCAAATTTGCAAGTTCGCAGAAAGGAGATGAGGGCGGTTGTGAGTGATGAAGATGACCGAGCTTGAAACTCATTTCTATTCTTTTTTTTCTTCTTACATTCAAAGCATAAGAGAATAAGAGAAAAAAAAGGAAGAAAAAGTTGTTGAAATAAGTGAAAATGAAGATTAAATGAAACGAAGACCTGTCATCAAAGATATTCCTTAAGGATATATAAGGTTTCTGCACATACGAAAGCCGCTTGTTCTAGTCATATTATATTGAAACATGAATATGATTATTAAAAAAAATAGAAAAACTCTTATAATTATACAATACGTTATGATAATTGTAGTTTACATGCCAGAGAGATGTGTGCGTGAGACAGTTCACTTGAGACAATCTCATTATCATTTTTGAATTTTGTGTACGCGATGAACGGTTGGTTATCTCCTTCTCTTATCCTCTTCCTCTTGCTCCCTCTCTCTTGTAGTCTTGTGCTCTGAAACTGACGACATTCCCTTTTTTTCTTTTTTTTTCTAATTTTAGCTATCACAGCTTCATTCAGATAAGTTCTTTGTTTCACATAATAATACATTGACCTATGGTAGTAGAAAAGAATAAATCATGTTAACTGTTGATAAAACGGTCCATGACATTGTTATCACTCATGCCCATCGTTTAAGCTTATTGTTCAAACTTTATGCTTTTGCTATCTCCATTCATGTGTTTCTCTCAGTTTTATTCAGTCTTTCAACGTTTGTTGCCTGCCTTAATTCCCTAATCATTGCTTTATCTTCAATCAACTCTCTGTTTTCTCTCATACTCTCTGTGTATATTTCTTTTTTGTCTCTTTTTCCACCTCACCCTCTAACATCTACATAATATTTCTTTGTTTTCTCTTCATCTATTTCCCTCTATCTGTTGAATGTAAGAGATTATGAACCATTCATGTGAACCTTTAAGACTTTCAACCATATGTGTACATTTTTCTGTCTGCAATAAATTTACATTAAAATAATAAATAAATATATATAGATGATGCTTTTATTTTCATTTTTTTTATATCAAAATTATAATAAAAATAATATTCATGTGTATTCTCCTAAACTACTGTCACAATATTGGGCTGAGCAATCGAGCCCTTCCCTATGTAATCCATCTTATCCTGTCATCATAGAGCACCATACCACGCCCCTTTCTGTCTTACCAACCCATATTGATTGATTTACTTTATTTAGATTCTTCTATTAATTAAAAAAGACCACATTCTTCTTATTTTACTCAATCGTCTTTTAAAATAAATTTTTTTTTGTACTTCATACATTCTCTTCATCAGTTCTGAACTTGCCGACAGAAGTTCTGTCGTCGGTAAGCTCAAATACATGGATTATCATTATCATATAGAAAGTTCATAAACTTTCTCATACAATTTGTATACTATAAAAGGAAGTTCCGGTTGAGAGTCATGACCTGCAGTGATGTTCAGATATCTTTTAACCTTCTTACGTCTCATTCTCATTCAAGTTCAATAACCTCTTCTCAGTCAGTCCGCAATAGCTCTAGGTTACGCAGTTAGCTGTGAATTTCCTGTAATATTCTCACAATTCATCAATTCCTCTCCACCCCTCATTCATCCCACCCATCGATTCACTTGTTCATCTTCCACTCGTATCTTTACTTTATTTTGTTTTATCTCTTTACATCTGCACATGTTTGTTGTTTCCATTATATCAGAAAATCCCATAGAAGATGTTCAAAATTCTATCATTTGCTCTTTCCTGTGAATATTTGTTGAATTTCTCATCATCCCACCAATCTCTCCATCTCTTATATTTATAATATGAATAATCTTGTCTTTAAGCTTTTCCTTCACCTCATTTGATGTATTATCAATCTATCGTTTACCATTTAGATTATTGACTATTCAATTCACATCTTCTCATCATTTTTACTCCCATCTTTACTACAAAATTTTTTTCTTGTTTTCTCTCTCTCTCCCTTTCATCTTGCTACTCCTCAACCATTCGCTTTTTTTTATTTTTTTTGCTTTGCTTTTTTTTTTCTTTTTCAAACAATAATTTTCGTATTTGAAAAGAAACACACATCTCGTGGTTGTTGCTTCAAATGGAACATTGAAAGAGAGATGAGATGAGAAATAAATAATTATTTGATTGAATGCAACCGCTCCATCATGTTATTGTTGAGAACAATGAACCTGTCAACTTAAAAATCTCACGTGTCACGTAAGATTATGCTAATGAAGCCCTCAATATGACGAAGAGCTCATTCATCTTAATCCTTTTGCCAAATTCTTTGTTGTTTATTAATCTTCTCTATCTTTTTTTTATCCTTTTTCCATTTCCTATTCTATTAATTGTCATATGCGCATTCAATGAGGACTCAATGAGGACGATGATTTATGACAATCCTTATTAGTCAGACAGGTAGCCCAATGGCTACACTGAGGGAGATCATAAAAAAATATGTTAACTATATGATATATAGTTTATATTATAAACACATTCATAAATATGTATAGATCTTTTAATATATACATATTTATCTATACATATATATGGTGTTTATCTCTTTTAGGATATTTATGTAATCTATGCAAATATCCGTGTGCTCTATTAGGTCATGTCGTGAATTCTTTGAATTACCGCTAATCTCTCAGATGACAGTTGAGAAAAGTATTTTTATCTGTTTTTGTTTCTTCTCCATAATCCATTCGCTCTTTCATCACTCCATAAACGACACTAATCTTCCGTCTTGATTGTCTTTCATCTAATCTCATGCTAATATCATCCGTATCCATGTTATCTGATTTTTATTAATTAACTTTACAGATTTAATCAATTAACTCACAAATTTTCACGTGAAAGCTCGAGATTGTCTCCGCGAAATGCGGATTACTTTTTCCTTACTTTTATTTTTCATTCAAAATGTCATCGGATTTCTTGACAGCGCTTGGTGGTTAGTTTTTGATTCGAAATTAGCATATTCTAAGTTAATTTCCTTTAGGACGTCTATGGCTCAACTATCTACTTCACCTGGTGGACAGAATGCTAAGCCTATGTGTTCATATCTCTCAGGATTATCACCTGGCCAAGCTAGGATATGCGAAATTTTCAAAGATCACATGCCTGCTGTAGGTGAAGGAGCAAATGTAGCAATTCAGGTTTTTAAAAGTTATTCTATAACTCACTTATTTGATATTTATAGGAATGTCAACATCAATTCCATTCACATCGTTGGAACTGCTCAATTCCTGATGATTCCAGCGTCATTGGACCGATTCATAAGAAAGGTTCGAAATGAAGATGAAACGAAAAGTTGAAAGAACCAAACTTTAAGGAACAAGAGAAGCTGCTTTCACTTTTGCCGTTTTATCAGCTGGAGTTACTCATGAAATCGGCAGACGCTGCAAACAAGGTTTATCTCGTCCTTAGCAATTCTCATCTTCGTACTTCTAGGACTTCTATCGTCTTGCGGATGCTCAGAAGATGCCAGACCAAAAAATATGGCCCAGGATTGGACTTGGGGAGGTTGTGGTGATAACGTAGATTATGGATATCGATTCGCCAAGTAAATATTGATTTGTTGGATAATTTTCAATCAAATATTTTCAGAGATTTCATTGATATTAGAGAGAAGGAGAAAGACCCCAAGAGAGACCATGACCAGGGCAGATCTTTGATGAACCGACGGAATAACGAAGCTGGCAGAAAGGTAAACATTCGTTCAGAAGAAGAAAAAACTTATTGAAAAGTTTTAGATTCTTAAAAGACATACATCTCCTAAATGTAAATGTCATGGAGTGTCTGGTTCATGTAGTTTGAAAACTTGTTGGATGCAGTTGCCAAGCATGCGTCAAGTTGGAAATATTTTACAAAATAAATACAAAAATGCCATCCGAGTGCAGGTAAACGAGGATTATAAGTGCGCTAAATCAAAGAACTGATTTCAGGTTAATTCGAGAGGAAACTTGCAATTAGTCTCCGGAGAGGAACAAAAGAGTTCAAACGCAAAGAGGAAAACGCGAGCTTTGCCAACAGACCTTGTGTATTTGGACGATTCTCCAGATTATTGTCGTCATGACATCATCACCGGCACGTTAGGAACGGAAGGAAGACTCTGCAAGTACGTAAACTGTTGAATTAGAGGCAAACTGAGTAAATGTTTAGGAGAAATTCTGATGGTCCTGATGGATGTGACTCACTATGCTGTGGTCGGGGTTACAATACCTACACTCAAGAAATAAAAACCAAATGTAATTGTAAATTTGAGTGGTGTTGTAAAGTTGTATGCCAAACATGCACCCAAATAACCGAAGTAGACATCTGTAAGTAAGGGTGAGCTGAAGAAGAAAAAGATGCAGCAGCAGACCTGATGAAGACAATGATAAATCTCTGTGAGAGTTTATTTATCATCATATCTATTCGTCGTAATGTTGCTGTTGTTGTTGTAGTCCGTATATAGTCTTCTTGAAAGTTTGTTTAGCAATGAGCATTTCTCACATCAACTAAGCATGACGATTGTTGTACGTACAGGGAAGAGTTACAGTTAATTCCGTTTTATATTTTCCGTTCTAATAAGTTCCTTCATGATTTTTGTATGTTTTTTCTTATCCAAAATTCAGTATTAATTTCTACAAATTTGTTCTCCAAGGACCTCGTTTTACATGCGCGCTTTAGCTATTTGTTGCTTCAACATCCTAAGATTTCTAACTTTTGTGAATAATAATTCATCTATTTATATTTTTTATTATAAAAAAATTAATGAAAAATCAATAAATTATATCTTTTTTTGTACAAAGAAGATGTGCAACTGCAAGAAAATATAACACAGTAGCAGGCAGAAGAGCAGCAGCAACTGCAAGAGCACTCGTTGGAAAGAAATGCAGGAAAGGGCATGTCGGAGGACGGCTGCAGACGGCCATGAGATTTAACTCAATTTTTTAGTTTTATATTGAGACAAAAACAAGAAAATTCATTTAATGCAAACGATTTCATTCATTGTTTCAGGGATCTTTGATCGTAGTTGTCAAGATAAACGCGTATTTCTTCCGGCTCTACATCTTCTTCTCGTGCTGGTTGTCGTCGAACTTTTTCGATGACATTCACGACATCCGTTAATTTCGCTATCACAATACTTGTTTCAAGATTATCATTTAGAAGTTACCGTTGTTTATCTCGTTTATCCAGATATCAGCTATTTTCTTCTGTTTCATAACAAAATCTGAATGAAATGATCGAACATCATTGTACTTCTCCAACGACTCCAAATTTCCATTTTTCACTTAAACTTTTGAGTTTTTCATTTGCAGGGTAAGTGTACATACTCATATTTGATAAGCGAACATCACCATCTATATCTAAAAACACTTTCAAGTCCAATTTGGGTTTCAAGCGAGTGTCTCTTAATACAGTTGGTCCATGGTAAATCACACAGTCTCCTATAGGTTGTGTTTCGTTCAAACCTGAATTCATAATCATAGTCACAATGAGAATGCGCATGCAGAATGAACCTTCCGAGGATGAAACTTCTATTGGAACAGCTTTTACCTTTCGTTGAGCAAGCCTCGCCACCAAGTTCTTGGCGAAATGGTTCTCAAAACAGATAAAATGATATAAAACAACTATAATGATAACATGATAAATACCTTTCCGCTGCCGACTCCACCAGCAATGCCAACGAAAACGGTTCTCATCAGAAAAGATGTCTGAAAACAATAACTATAAAATGTGAGAGAAGACAACAACACAGGGGAAAAAAAGTATTTTTAATTCTCTGAAGTTCACATAAGGCTACAGCTGAGGGAGAAGTGCTCAACTCAATTAGAAACAGCCGTATAAAACAGAGGATCAGAAGTTATAGGGAGCATTGAGAGCTGGACGATTTAGCATTTACACTTTCTATTAAAAGACAATGCCATCTTATCGTCATTCATGTATTCTCTCAGATGTTCCATCTATTTCCTCAATTCTTTTTGTCTCCAACATATTTGTGATTGTAGAAAACTAATTAGCTGAACGAATTCCCTTAAGGCGCTTCATCCATCCTCTCGTTACTCTCGTTCATGGCATTAGTTAATGAAATTCTACATTTCTAACCTTTAAACAGCGCAATATTGTTTTCTCTACAAGTCATAACACTCTTTCTTTCAAAATATTCATTGTTTTCAATTATTTTAATGTTCACAGCTGAAGCATCTGAGAAGTTTTTTATGAGCGTCGTCTGAATCGAAAGCAGCCGTTAATTACTTTCGCCAAACAGTTATTTTCATTTTCCTTTCAAGAGTTGTAGTTAGAGCGGTTGATTATTCATAGCTTCCATTCATTCGGCTTCACAAGTCAAGAGGAGAGCGGTTGCTTTTTCTTAGTTTCTTTCAAAAATGTCTGAAGACTAAGTTCAGAAGACGGTTGTTACGTGTGAAACTTCACAAGTAGAAAGCCCTAATAATAAGTAATCAACTTGTCCACTCAAGATCATAACAAACAACAGTACTTCAATAAGAAATAATATATAAAATGGAAAGACAAAAGTTTATTTTAGAAATTCAAAGAATACAAACGTAACACAATAGAGATAAAGACTTATATAAGCGGTTTTGATAACTCAAGTCTGCAGGTGATAGAGATAGTATACATATAACTTTGATTAAAACATTTTTTTCTTTTCTTCTTAAACTTTCACTGCATTCTGAGTCTGATATGGAATATGGAAGTTATGATTATGCTTGTCGACCGAAAAAAACGATCATAAAAATCTGTTTTTGTTAAATATTTTGAAACACTCTGCTTATTATTTTACAAGAAAAATAGTTTCTTATGTGAGAAAGACATAGCAGTTGTGGGCACGGTTTCCTTCTACACAGTATCTGAACAAGCATAAACGTATAAGAAAAAGACTGAACGCTCTTACTTGTGAGAATCAGCTTGATAAGTGACTGTTCCGTCCACACAAAGAACAGTGAAAGCATCATCTGGATAGATAGAACTGAGTTCTTCATAGATAGCTGATTTAACAGCCATGGCTGATGTTCCATTCAAGTGCTGCAAGTGCAGAATGTAATAAAAGACAAGATTAGAGAGAGAAAAAACTTTTTTTTCACATTATTACTTACCTTCTTGATAACTTCACTGATTTCCAAACTATTGCATTGTCCGTTCAAAGTATCGCCGTGCTCTAGCATGGTCACATGCCCTCTAACATGACCGATTTCTCTCTTCTTTCTAAAAATACTACCGTGTTTCAGACTGATAAGTTATGATTACCTTCCTCCACATCCTCCTCCGCATCCACCGCCACCGCCGCAACCACAGCCACAGCTAAAAATAATGTTCCATAACGAGCATGAAACTTGAACTCACGAAGGTGGAGGTGGTGGAGCGCAGCAAGACTGTTGCTGTTGACAGCAGCAATCTCCTCCTCCTCCACTGGAGGGGAAAAACAAAGCTTCAATTAAGGACAAACTAATCAAAGCCACAAAGAAAACTTTCATGGATGCCATTATGTTGGAAAAGTGATGACTTTTGTTATGAGAAGTTTATGTTTGAAACAGCTTATATAGAGCTATTTGTTGAAACAAGTTCGATAAGTAACCAAAACGCATGGTCAACTTGTCTTCAAATCCTGTAACCTAAATCGGATTCCGCAAGTGATATCGTGATGCCCGTCAATCAAGTTAATTGTTTATAATACTCAATAGAAACGAAGATAAAAGAAACAAAAAATTTATTTCATTATTCTGCAGCTTCAATATGAAGCTTTCTCAGTTGATACAATCCGTGGTTTCCCCGTTGAATTTATTTCCGAGGTTTATCGTTCCAATATCATAAGCTCTAGAGGGGTTACGTCCTCTACTTACGTAGTTATCTGGGATAGTGATACCAAACTTGCGATAACAAATCTAAAAACACATTGATGAATCTTCTTAAAACAACAGAAACAAACCCCAATGTAATCACATCTGTGATAGACGTTCACTTTGGGATCTATTGTTGAAATTTCACTTTTAGATCCTGATAACCTGAACTCTCCGTTACTGTTCGTTCGTCCTTCCTCCAACAAAACATCTTTGACTGCAACAAAAATGAATGAGTCACGGATATTGTTACTAAAAACACTTACAAAATTCTTTTTCGTAGAGTTTCACTTTGACATTACTGGCTGGTTTGCCATTGCACAAAAGTCTTCCTTGTACAGCAACAGATTGCCGCCTGCCAATACCAAAGAGACAGTGGCAAGAAAGGAAGCAAAGGAAAAGGCAAAGGATAATTAATAGACGCATTTGCGAGAGAAAAGCTCTGAAGAAACTACGAATTTGACTGAAAAGTAGCTTATATACCAATGGAAATGCAAACATCCATAAAACCTGCCTTTGTTATTATCAAAGTAAATAAAAGTTTGTTGATATTCCTAACCAATTTCAACCCGAGGTTGGTTATTTAACTTGAACCGTCAAATACCGTTGATGAGTAATCTGAGTCAATATCTACAAATTTTTATTAATTTCATTATTACACTTCAATGATATAATATAATAAGAAAAGATAGATCTTTGAAAGGAGAGGGGGGAGGGGTCGAGGGAAATGTCAAATGAAGAGGGACGAGAAAGTGAGGAAAAAAACAAAACAACTAACAAAACTCGTAAATCCTAGAAATCTATCCTACAATTATGCTTCAACTTAATAAGCTCAATGAAACATGCAGAATACAAAGACGCGTCGTATATGATGTGATTCGAACATTGACAAACCTTTAATATGACTATACTTTTAAAAAACTGAATATTAAACGAGAACATAGAGATTATGACAGGTGCATTATTAGGATCATATTCAAAAAATGAAGTTTATTATACATAAGTATGACTTGTGTTTCATACAGTCATCGCATCACCATATCTGGCCATGTAGTACATGAGGAACAAACCGATAAACACTCCGACTGACTGTAAGAATAGCACATATAACCCCCGTTGTAGTGAAACATTCAGAGCTTCTTCCATTGCCTTTCTCATCTCAGGCATCTATAGACAAAAAAGGATTTCAAAGTTCAAAATAAAAATACTCACCATACAACCCAATGATATGTAGAGGAACATTCCACCAGCTAAAGCAAATGCGTATTGTGATGCGTACTCATTAAGTTCTCCAATACCAACACCGATAGCAAAACCTGGAAGTTGATAAGCATGAGATGAATCAGACTGTTGTTTTCACACCTATGTAACAAGTTACGGCGCTCAATAAATTATACAGAAGAGCCTGACGTAAAGTCATTCCTGCGGCTACTAGAATTGCTACATCACCTATAAAACAAATGATATCATCTCTGTTCCAAGTATTTCTTACTAACCCAACTCATGTGGGAATTCCTCACATAAAACGGCAATAGATATGGAAATTCCAGAATGAGTGGATTCCGCGAAAGCAGCACCTAGAGAGATTCCATCGATGAAATTGTGGAAACCGTCTCCGAAAATTATCATCCAAGCTACAGCAGCAATTGCTGAATCTCCAGCCTACAAAAAAGTTGAGTAGTGAACAAACGTTCGTTAAAACTCTCACTTCAAACGTCATCGAGTGATCGTGAACGCAGATGCCATGAGCTTGATCTCCCATAGACTTTCCAGCAGTAGTTTCTAATTGCATCATTTCGATAGCAGCAGCTTCTTCACAAGCAAGCTTGGTCTATAAGGTAAAAGGTTAAATTCGTATCAACTGGCGAAATATACCTTTTCACATGTTCCATGTTCTAACCCAAGCAAAGCACTTCCTACCTTGTCAATAGCATGGGTTCCACTTTGTTGGCGTTTTCTCTGAAACAAAAAAAAATGAGATATAATCTTAGAAAATGTAGAAAACATAAGTAAATGGGTTTCTTTAGATCGTAGAACAAACAACAGCTTCAAGAGCTTTAGCTGTGTAATGAGACAGAGAGGACTAACCGCAGCTTATTACTTTTTTGTAAAGAGGCATTCAACCCACCTTTCTCATTTCCAAGATAATTTTGATAAGTTTATCACACATAAAGAATAAATAGACTCCTAATAGGGAAGTATGAGCGATATGCAAATAACTGTGTGTTAAGTTTCCATGTTCGTCTTTTTCTTCGAGAAGTGATGGATGGGCCTAATATAATGCCATAAAAAACGTTTTTGTTAACCAGAAACACCTGGGGAAGAAGATGATAAAAGCTAGAACCGGACAAAGATCCTACTCCAAGGCCAACGAAGAGAGTAATAACCTTAAAACAAATCAATGACCCGACCGTTTCTCTCGAATTCTTACTTGATTATAAACATTTTTTGTAAGATACTTCATAACACCTATTCCTATGAGTGCACACATATTGATCAGAGTAACAAACAGTAATCCAACAGACCAAACTTAAGAATCACATTTGCATAATTTAACATTCGAACGGTTCTTACCTATGTAAGGAGCTGGGCGTTCATGATGGACAGAGTGAGATGTTGCCGAAAAAACATCAGAAAGAACCTAATCAAACAAATATGTGAGGAGAAGACAGCTTGAGAAATGTTACCTCGGTATCATTTACTTTAATCAGAGCACATAACTGCCCGATTTGATTGTGGGTTAAATTAGAAACAGAAGTAGAAGGATCCCAAGGAAACTCAATAACCATGATGCTTAAAAAAATTTGATGAAGCTTCTTGATAGAAACGGATTGAGAGAAATGAAAGAAAACAAGAAAAGCTACGAATTTATATGAAAACCTCCCGTGCTTCAACGATGAGGCAAACGTGCAAAATGGAAGATTTTTTGAACATTATATACTGTAAGTTCTTGCGAATGGGGCGCGTGATTGCGAATGGGGCGTGCTTAAGTAAGCCATCGGAAGTAGCAAATGCATCAATCAAATATGGTCCTATTAATAGAACATATCAGTTCAGTTTTGATAAAATTGAACTTTAGTTTCTTAATATGAATCTTCCCACATTTTTTGTTGTCATAAGACGTAAATAGATTCCCTGTTATCTCTTAAATATGCACAATGCTTCGTTTTCCGCTTTAGTCGATGAACTTGTCAATGAACTGTGTCTGCTGATAGGCAAACGATGAAAAATTAGTTTTATTTACATGGAATTCAGCAAATGTGATGAAACACGTATACAGCAAGCGATATTCACTGCGGTCGCCCAGAAGGCATTTCCGGTGAGAACTTCCACTCTTGCCTGCAAAGTGGGCATTGCGGCTTAGGTGCGTTCTGAGTTTCGGTCCATTTCAAAATACAGTGCATGTGAAAGGGATGCCGACACTGTCCAAGAACCTAAACATAAGTTTGTTTTGAGAAAAAGAGATAGCTTTACCAAAGGGCAACCATCGCCGGGCATAGAACAGTCTACGCAACAAGCCTCGAACGGCATTCTACAAATCCCACATGTATCGTTTTCGCAAGCCGTCCACTTCCATTCTGCTGTTATCTTAAATGATTACCTTCATTATCCCACGCTTCACATGTTGAATTATCAAATAAACATACATGAAGCCTATTAACTTTCACTTTCAGTCCAGTTTTGGAGGGTAAAACCACTGGTTCTGTTTTATTAACAATAGGAACTTCTGGTGCATTCTAAAACTTTTCAAACATATTGTATGTCCAATACATGATAAAATTATTCAGAAAATATAAGAAAGAAGTAGGAACTGTGTTTTCAGAATAGAATTCGAATTCGGAATGCAACCGCTCTGGGCGAGCCGTAGAATAGAAATGAAAAATAACGTGAACTCATTAGCATAGTTCAGTCAATTACAAGTGAAAACGAAAAAAAAGTGGAAACACATGCAAAAATGAAATGAAGCTTACTTCATCCGGCACCAGGGTTCCATCTAGCGTTTCTTCTACGTCGTCCTCCGCATATGAAGGTGAGAACTGAGAAATAGAGGATGACTGTAATTTAAGCTGTGTATTCTAAGACGATTGAGTTCGAGAACATCATCACTTCCAGTTCGCCGATTAACTATTGGTATTGGGCTAGGTTGTTCACCACTGTTTTCGTCGTGCTCTTCCATATCAATATCCGCATTAAATTCCATATTAGTTAAGCTATATCTGAAATACTGCTGAATTAAGTCTCAAATACTTTTAAACCTCAAACCTCTAATCGGTTAAATTGGTGAATAACTGTAATCATGTAACGATTCTAATGAAGAAATGAGCTGTATGCTGTTTACAGCCTGTTAATTTCGTAGGTTTTTATTCTTTTACCCCGAACTTCAATTTATAAAACAAATATTTTTGCTTATTCCTTCATTACAAATGATTTTTCGATATTTAGTTTAATGGCTACTCATTCTGTTAACGTGAACGAATGGCGAAGCTTTGTCAGCCATGTTCTGTCGGTATGGAGTGGCTACCAATTGGCAATCGACTCAAACAGCGGCGGCGATGAAACTAAGTTGAAACATGAAGTGTGTTTATCGATTAATCTTCTAATGCCTTTTATTTTACTTTTGAAGTTATTAAAAGAAAACTTTCTCAGAATGTTAAACTGTCAAAGCTGTTTCTAACGATTCAAACAATAACTAAAACAATCGAAACAAACAATTTCAAGTTTGATGCTTTTAGTGGCTTATCGATGTTTTATCGGAACACATTTACACATATCCATCTCTGAAAGTGGATGACCTGGATCAATGGATTACAAACATTTTATACACCGATTTCGATTTAATTCTTGACGATGATAGCATTTATCCCACATCTCATCTACTATTAGAAGCTTTTGGGTAAACTTTACAATGTGTGTTGAAAAATGATGAAAAACTTTTTCAGTTTCCTCAAGAAAAATAATAGAACGGGTTTTGATCAATTAGTTGCCGGATTACCTTCACAGCAAGTGATCCAGGTTATTATTGATTCTCGATTGGTATTTAAATTGTAATCTTGTTGTAGGAAGTTAAAAAAACTTCACAGCTACAAACAAATGAAGATGATGAAGATGATGACATGATGGCAATGGATGACGTCGAAGAAGAGATGTCTGATTCAGGTATCGACGAGAGATCTATTTTGGTCACGTACTTGCATACCAATATCTTGTTTTCTATCGTTTGTGTGCTTGTCGGTGACAAAAATAGTCTGATTACATGCATTTCCGTTAGTTAATTAATAAATCACTTTCAGAGGAAGTTGAAAAGAAGGAAAGGCAACCAAGAATGGTTACAGATGATGATGGATGGACGACTATCCTTCGGAAATGACAAGATTAAGGGGCCAACTCCATTGCTGTTATATTTTGTTATCCAATTTTGTTGTGTTTGCTTGTTTTATTTCCGTTGTCATGTTCGCAGGGATGGCGTTGCCATGCAAATTTTATCATTCAAAGTCCCATGAGCTGATTTAATCTCGTTATGCTATAAAAAGCTCTATTAATGCTTTCTTTCTGAAACATAAGGTTATCAAGCCTACATTTATTTCTTTTTCTTCAATATTTTCATCTATATTTCATGATATTCTGCTCTTCTGCTCTCATCGTCCAATCTTCTTTCATGTCATTTATGCTTTCATTCAGGATTATGAATGCAACGAGCATGTAGTAATTATTACCGCTATCATGTGAATAGCATTTCTATATTCGATAAATGCAGCTGCCGCAGATGCCTTCCATCATTAGCTCTCTGCGTTTTCTCCTCCTTTCTCAATATATTCTTGCCTTCAACACACTTCACTTCTCTTCCTTCCTGATGCTCTATGTAGTCTTATAGTATCTGCTCTTTTCATGTGTAGCTTTTAATATTTAACGCATTGATTTTCTTCTATCATTCTACAACTTTTATTTTTAGTGTCTTTAAGCTCTGATCCCGAGCAATGAGTATTTGCTCTGAGATCCGATCTGGAATTGCACAAGCCACTAAGGAAACTCATCAGTTATGGGAGGAAAATAAAGATCTTCAGGTTTGTATCTCATTTCAACCCCTTAATTGGCTTTTTTTTACAGGGGCGTTTCGTCAATGATTTAGGTGAAATCCAACGATTGCAAGCCTTGGTTCACCAATTTCAAAATGAAAGAAGGGCTGATCAGCTTGAAAATGTTGGTCTTTGAGTTTGTTTCTAAAACAATTTTCCCACATAGGCTCGAGCTTCACTTAGTGAACATCAGCGCAGAGCTGCTGCCATTTATGATATAATGAGTCAAAAACGGGCAGAAATGGTTAAAAAATTGAATGAAGGAACTGGGCTTGCTGCTCTATTTCAGGTATTGATTGTTTCATCATGAAAACAGAGACTTATTTATTTTTAGAACCAATTAATAAGCGAAAGGCTTTTTGATTGGAAAAACAGACAAAAGCTAGCCCAAGTTGGAGTTCCGTTTGAAAATAGAGAAAGTCTCTTAGATGAAATACAAATGGAGTATGTCTATTTGATTTTCAAAATTGGGTCAATTAAAATTGCAAAGCTTTTATAATACGAGGGGAACACAATAAAACCCACCAATCAATCTTTCTCTAAGTTTTATGCAAATTAAGCGGAGGGTTTGAAAAATCAGAACACCTTAATTATTTTATTTCAACCTGTGCTTTTCGCATAAGCGGTTGTTCACAAATTATTTTCATCTGTTCCATTTTTTAATTTTCCTTTTCAGTTTCGAGTTTCTAGCTGATCATAACTGGAATATGCACATGTTTTCAACATGGCTTCTTGATCTTCTTCAGAGAGGAAGTTTGTTTCTGAGAAAGAGGGATGTTTTCAAAGAAAAATTTTCAGGTCATTTTACTGATAATAATGCCCAGCTCACAATTGATAATCTCACCACCATTGGAAACCAATTGTCCAAACTTCTTTTCATGTTGGTCGCACAATCTTTTGTTGTTAGCGTACAGCCAGATCCTGTACTAAAAACACAGCACAAATTCGTTACTGAGGTGAATTTGTGTTCGGAGAACATTTGTAGGAAAATGTATTAAGGTGCGCTTGCTTATTGGAGACAAATTAGGAATCCGTCAACACATGGTTAATGCCAACGTCACTATCAAAATTATTGCTGAAGATGAGGCTAGACTTGCTTATTGCAGTCAGATGCATCATTCCGATATGTAAGATTCATGTAGCCAATGAATGAGAGCATGAAAAACTTCAGAAAGTCGGTTGGCAGTATAAGTAATGACTTCGAGAAAATGACTATGGATGAGCTCAACCATTTTTCCGCCAAGTTCAATAATTCGGTGTGTGAACTATTCCGTTTTAATGAGAATATTTTTCAATTTTCAGAAGCTAACCAGAATCGCCCATAGGAAGCCACCTCCAAAGGGAGCATCTGCTGATTTGAAATGCAGTGCGAATGCTCAGGCTGCAACTGATCAAAAGTACGCTTTGCTTTTCTCAATCAGCCCTTTCCATCTCGGCAACATAGGAAAGGTAAGACAAAGGTTCTATTTTGTCGCAATACCATGTGATTCCAGCTTGATGTTTGGACATTGTCTTTGCCCTTAATGGTGACAGTTCATGGTTCACAGGATTGTGACGCACAAGGGACTATTATGTGGCAACGAGCTTTCTCTTCTGTGGTCTGTTAAACAAAGCAAAATATTGAACGAAAACTGTTTCCAGAATCGAACGCCTGGTATGACGGACGTGAACGCGGTCGCATGGCCTGACTTGGCTATGGCTTTGAAACACAAATTCAGGTTTTTGAAGAGAAATGAGACGAAATGTACGTAGTAATGATATTTTGTAGTTTGTTCACTGGTGCTCGACGCCCTTTGTCTGACACCGACCTGGCCTATCTATCGGAAAAACTGGTGATTTCAAATATTCAAGATCAAAAGCCAATCACCTTCAGTCGTTTCGCAAAGGTATGGGAAGTACTTTTCTGTAGTGAGAACCATTAGTTATTACAGCAAAACTTACGAGATGATGTATCTTTTTCATTTTGGGAATGGTTTTTCTCTATTATGCAGTTAATAAAACAGAAATTACTCAAGTTTTGGGACGAAGGTAGATAAGCTAATATATCCAGTTTCAATCAATCCTTCAGGATGGCTTTCTGGATTCATTTCAAAGCAAGACGCTTCTCAGTCAATGCTCAGCTACCCTCATAACACTTTTCTTCTTAGATTTAGTGATACCCAAACAGGAGCTGTAAGCATTGGATTTGTCTGTGAAGATGAAGATCAAAGAGGTGCGTGCGTCGAAAATCTTGTAAACATGTATGCTTATCTTTCAGTTCCGTTTCATCTCGCTCCTTTCACCATTAAAGATTTGGATCAGCTCTCTCTTGCTCAAAGAATAGCAAGCTGTCCACAACTGCGTGAAATCAAGTAGTTCATGTTTACTTTTCACATTTATTCGATGCTCTTCAGATACATGTATCCTAATATTGATAAAGACGAGATGTTGCGTTATTTCGATACGGAAGAAAGACATAAACCGTGTCCCGACAGCCCACTTGGATATATTCAGAGTGAAATAGTGATGGTTGCAAAAACCTCTGGGTGAGATCGGTACTAATATATGTGAAATTTCCGGGTCGTTTAGGAAAATATCATCGTCTGCCTCATTCTTCGGAGCAGACTCTCCATCTCCTTTGTCCATACAGTCACGAAATGATTGGTCCCCTAGTACTAGCCAACCTATGGATACGTGAGTAAATACAATAATTGTATGTAAAAGAGTATAAAACTCTTTTAGGAATGACGATTTCACAAACGCTTTGTCTTCTTCTGCTTTGGACGGTGTTCCTGGAGACGTGGAGTCGCTCTTAGGACCAGGATTCCGTCCACAGTTACCTAATCAGCCCCTCCAGCATATTGACCTCTCGTTCGCTGATTCTTACGGAAACGCTTGTTTCAATTTCGGAGATAACTTTAATAGAAATTAATAATAGTTCTTCAAGTTACTTTTATATCTATCATATCTATTCTAGTGAATGTTTTAGAAATTGCTTTATTCTGACAGCTTTTACTCTCTAGTCCTTTCTAACATATCTCAGCCTATCTTAGCTTTACTGAGTCTAATCTAATTGAACTAAGTTACTCGATCTCTGTCTGGAAGTCTTTACTTTTTTATCCTATGCAAGTTCTAACTGTACTCTCAACACTTAACAACTTTCCGATGGCGTGAAGATTGTTCTGCAAATAAAATATTCTTACTTTTGCTCAGTTGTAACTATTTTTAGAAAGGATATTTGTTTTTGATCTTTCAAACCCACATCATTCGCTGCTATTATGGGTCAGCGAGTAAAGTTCTAAATTTTTGCAAAAGGTACACGGAGTTATAATCTTCTAATTGTACTAGTGTTTGATGTTGCGCGAGTTGCATCTTCCTCTTTTCATGGACTAGTCAAAGTCTCTGCAACTGTCGTGAAGAAATAGAATAGAGAGGTTTTCCACACGACTTTCGAAGGAGAGTTTTTGCAAATGATCAGCATGTTCACCTAACTTTTGAAGGACATTGAAATAGAATAGCTCCGATTTTATGAACTCTGGTGAATATCTGAACCTCTATAGTGGGTGGTACGGTCTCTTTGCTCTTCCGGTGCAGAAACATTATGGAGCTTTTGTTCTGCGCCGAGTTCGGAGTTTTGCAAGTGAGCTAGAATAAACGAATATGCTGATCATTGGCTAGAATAATGTCTGGTAACTATTCGGGGAAGACAATAGACGTAACTTTCCTGGATTTTTGACTCCCTCTTACCGTATTCAAAAGATTTTGCTGTAAAGTAAATACCGTATGAGAAGGTGATGTTTGGTGCTCATTAGGCTTGAACAAGTGTGATATTTGAAGGAACATGTTTCTACAAACATAATGAAGAAAGTACAAGCGGAAATCTTCAAAGAAAGAACTGCCATGCCAACCTGTATATAAGCTTAGAGAGATTGTCATTTGCCATCTTCTTTTGTCGTTCGCTCAAAGTTTTTCCTATCTCAGACAATCTACCGGCTGCTCACTGTTCACTTTTTAGATGCAATCGTTCTCTCTTCTACTTGTTGCCCTCGTACCCCTCAGCCTAGCTGCCCCAATCGAAACATCTACGAGTGATTTGCAAATTAATATCCAGCATGCTGATCAAGAGGTTTTTGATGTGCTCCTAACCCAATCTCATCTAAGGACATGTTAAGGTGCAGAACGTTTTGACTGACATTCAAAACTTGAACGAAGCCGTGCAAGCTGCCAGTGGAGATGGGGTGAATCTCAATGTTGAAGCGGTAAACGAACTTGTAGCTGATGTCAAAGAACAACTGGAAAACGTTCAAAACGTGAGTGAATCTTAAAGTTAGTTTCTGAGTTTATCTGATGCAGGATGAACAAGCGGAAGAGCTTAAGGAACAGTTACATACTGTTTTGAACGATGCTGCTGAGGTTGTGAACACCGAAGAAGCCCAAGCTTCCCCCCAAGACGCAGAAAGCTTGAATGTTCTTCATGAGGCTATAGAGCAATTAGCTGCAGAGACTGATGTCATAACTACATCACCCTCACAAGAAGGAGAAATATCCACTCAAGCAACTCTTCTTGATGCAACACAAGCCAATACCCAAGAACTAGATGCCTCCACTACCGTTGCAGATACCGTTCAGAACGATGCTACTGAAGAGTTAGCTGAAAGAGTAGAAATCTTGCCCGTTTTATCTGAAAACAATGATGATGAGCCCGAAATCAATACCGCAGAAACTCTTACTATCATTGAGGTACGACATAGTTTCGAACTTATGAAGAGTTATTCATTCAATTACTTTCAGAATCTGAATGACGAAGGTTCGGGGCAAGAACAAAACGATGATATTGCTCATAACGAAAACAACGAACTCTTGAACGAATCAATTCGTAAGTGTTCTGATAAAGGTTTACCTAATCCTTACATGATATTCCAGCCGCCCACGAAGACAAAACCACAGAATTAGTGTTTGCCGATCAAGAAACCACCCACCAACAGATTGAAATCGAAGGTATAAAACTGAGGCCAATGAAATCTAATATTCCCTTCTTTCAGCTGTTGATCCTTTAGCTGAACAACTTGTGATTAATATCCCACTTCGTTTCACGGTTGATCAAATACTCAGTCGCCTGAACAGAATGGTCTTCAAGGTAAGAAATTAGTTAGTATTGCCATTTTCTAATGTAATTTTACAGAGCCCAACGAACGAAAGATTATATATTGCCATGAAGTTAACAGAAATGTCTCATTCTCTTATGAGAAGTGTAGATAGCGAAATGGATGAAGCCCAAAGAATTCGTTAATGGCTAAATTCCGATGCGATGATCTTCAAATTTCCTTTGTCAATGGGTACTGTGCATTGAAATTGTAAACATGTATAATACGAAACCTACGAGAATTAAAGTTTTATCCAATCATAGTATCTTTCTTGCAAACTTCTTCCTCTTCGATCCTACATAAGAACAGCGAACTGATCAGAATCCTTATCGATTTGGTTTAATATCAATGGAACAGTCACATCGTACGAGATTGACCATTGGGTGAGAGCGAGTGAACAGGTTTCTTTCTAAGCCAATCTCTCATTGGCTTCATATGATTTCTAGCTGGTCTTCTTGGTCTAGCACAATTCTGCATCAAAAGGAGTTTGACAGGTTGAAAAAACGAAGCCTTTAACAAAAGACAAACAAACTAAATTTTCTTGGCTTCAACATGATAAGCGTTTTTCCTTCTAAATATCTGTCGATGATGTCATCTTCATCATCCGAAAAATCTACGAAGTGGAAGAAGGTTATGAACACTCTGATCACTCCCATCACCTCGTAGATAATGTCAAGCGACAAAACTTCGATTTTTTTGAATTTCAAGACATCGACGTACTTGGCTTTATTAAATACAGTTGTTAAAATACTTTAAAAGTTGAAAAAATGAGCGATATGATCAGAATTATTTCTTCTACATCTTGGAGTCAGTTTCTTCGCTCTTGGTTGTTGTCAAGGGATACATAAAAGAATTTTTCGGTACAGGAATCATCTTTTCCTCTTCATCTAAGCCTGATTTCTTTCTTCTCTTGGGTAGTAGGTTCTCCGGTAAAGCTCTTCCTTTTGTTTCTGGGAGTGTAATTTGGAAGAAAATGGTGTCAAGAGTTGCCATTAAGAAGAGAATACTGTATGGAATGGTCATTGTCGATGCTGCCTGAAAGTTTGGATCAAACCTTGTGAGCAGGATCACAAAACTACCAAAATGAACAGTTGTGGCGCGCATATTGTTCCTACACGACTAGAAACAGACTGAATCGCTAGAGCAGAATTTCGAACCACAGTTGGATAATATTCCACAGAAACAACAGCTTTAGTAATGAAGACCTGAAAGTAAAAGCATCTATCTAATAGGGCAGTTTAAAAAAACTTGTGAAGCCGTGGATATCGCAATGATTGCAGCATATCGGATAAAACCTTTGTAGTCCTCTTCAACTTCTGAACAAAAATTGAAAATATAAGAAAAAGCATTAACAGTACCAAAATAATATATGAGAGCTGCACTTCCTACAGAAAAGGCAGTTGTCATTTGGGAAAGCAAATGAACAGGCTTTCTACCTAGTCCTTTATATCTGAAACGTCCAGTTGTGTTTCTTGTCGTATTGTATAACTTACTTGTAATCCAGAAGACCCGTCAGGATGTTCAGCACCCAACGTAACATACCCATAAGCACAGAGTTCAAGAATAAAGAACCAGCCAAACTTTCCATATTGAACACGAGCCCATAATTGACCATACTTGTGAAGAACCTATTATTTAATGTTATTCGTCTGACTAAATAATGGAGTAACAACTTTCCACTACAGAGAACGGTCGTAGATAGTGCCATACTGGGGGTGTGAAACAAGTGGCACATATTATAGTTTTTCAGTTTCCCTTCGCTGGCAACTTGTTCCTGAGATCAACAAAGAAGAGTGAGCACGATGAATACGGAGTTACCTGATACTCAGCGTCAAGCATTTTCTCCATTTCTTCTTTTTTTAAGTCATCAACTTGGTCTAACCTCTGGATATTCTGCATTATTTCTCTGGCCTCACTGATTCTACCTCTTTGGATCAACCAACGAGGAGATTCATAAACATAACTAGAAACACTCAATTACTTAACGTTCTCTGAACACACTCACAAGCAAAACAGAAAAGCTGGGCAACTGGTTGCAAGGATTAGTAGTTGGAACGTTCGCCAGTCTTTCGCGATATAAGCTATGAAAAAAATTTTGTTTCATCATATTTTCTATCTGTGATACCTATCCCGTTTATCAAAATGTAATTGGGTGCCCAAGCTATAATAGCAGCTACCCAAAAACGATGTTTCTTAGGAATCTGCTCCATCTGATAGACAGCATACGTTCTGAAGCATTTATAGAAATGGAGGAGGAAAAATCTGTCTACCCAATCACACCACCAGTGAAAAATCCCAGAATTGTTCTTAAGATTGTAAACATAGAGAGGGAAGTCGAGAAAGAGCAGAGGAGAGAGGCGAGTGAGCTCATTGTGAAAGAGAACATGAGAACCTTAAAGTTTCATTTGTTTGGGAAACAGTTGACACTTACTTTTAATCTTCCAAAACGATCAGACAAGCTTCCGAACAGGAGAGTACCAACTAATACACCAATCATTTGAACAGAAATGCTACTTTTCACCAGAGCTGTTTCTTTGCAGACATATTCAAACTGAAGTTGCGAATGAATGAGTGAGATTTGATGACATCAATGAGAACACAAACCTCTACATTGATGGACTTGAACTCGTAATCAATCTTTAGTTCACAATCAGTCAATTCCCTGTGGTTCAGTCCCTGTTTGCAGACATCCTCTATGGTGAAGTTACTACCTACGCATGAAACTGATCGAGGA